TCGCGGCGCGACCGCTTCCTGAAGGCGGGGCGGAGGGGAGGGGCGGAACCGGAGCCGCCGCTCAGCGGGGAGCGCCGTCGTCCTGGCAACGCCGGCGCGGAGGCGGGGCCACGCACGCGCAGAGGGACTGGCGAGACCTCGGGAGCGCGGGCCGGGGTCTGGGAGCGGCGGTCGGCGGGGAACGGTTTGTGTCGTCGGCGTCCATCGCGCGAGTCAGCAGTCCCGCGCCCCGGGACTCTGGCCGAGGCTTGTCAGCACGCGCGGCTGAGAGTGTGAACCCCGCTGCCGGCACGGCCCAGCAGGCGCCCCTCAGCGCGCTCGTACCCTGTGCCCACAGTGACCGGAGGGCGGCGGCGTGCACGCGGGGCGCGTTCTTTAGCCTGAAGGCGTGAGGTTCGGACCCGAGCGCACCGTAGACTGGACCTTGATGCTGAGTGAAATATACTAGTCACGAGAGAACGAATACTGCAGGATTCCACGCACTTGACAAACCGGGACAGGCTAATTCTCAGAGACACGAAGTAGCTTAGAGAGGCCAGGTGGGGCAGCCAGATGGCGATGCTCTGCCAGGCAGCCCCACGTGGGACGGCTACCTTCATGGCCAGAGGCCTGCCTTCTGCTCTGGTTCCTCTTCCCAGTCCAGCCAGCTGAGAACTGGGGTGGACTACGGTGATGGGACTTCGTCGGGAGATGCCTGCCTTGCCGTCTTGAGTTCTCTGTCCCTTTCGCTCATGGAAGAAATAATAAAATCGGGGCCAGCAGATGTGGTTGAGGTGCTGCACTCCCACGTGGCCAAACACCATTGGGGTCCCAGATCTGGTGGCTTGCTTTCTCACTTTCTGTTTCTGTCTGGTAAGCACAGGTGCTCTATAACAAATTAAAATAATAATAGTAATAAAATAATAAATTTAAGAAAAAATAATAAATTTTGAGAAGAAAAAAGTAGATTATCAGGAGCTGGGAGGAGGCATGGGGGCAGAGTTCTGGTTGGACTGGTGAAAAGCTTTGGACATGGTGTTGGTTGTACAACACGGAGATGTAATGCCACCGAGCAGGATACTTGGACTGCTTTTATGTTGTATATAATTTGATGCAAAAAAAAAAAAGGACCAGGGCCAGCAGTTGGCGTAATGGCTATGTCGCTGGACTCCCATGTAGTTGACCGTGGTTCGAGTCCCGGACCTGGTGGCTTAAACTCACGCGGGGCGCGTGTGCATGCGTGCCCAAGATCCTGAGAGGAGAATGGGGGAGAAGGGATTGCGGCGTGGCCACCCCTCAGGGGGAGATTTCTTACTTTCTGTCTCTTTCTGGAGAGCGCACACGCCCTATAGCAAAAACCTCTCCCAAAAAAAAAGACCGATGGGGCCAGCAGGTAGCATGACGGTTAAGGGACTGGATTCCGACATGTACGACTGCTTCAAGTCCCAGCAGCTTGAAAACACACTGGGCATGCGTGTGTATGTGCCCAAAGTCCCAGGAGAAGAATGGGGGAGAAAGGATTGCGTCATGACCATCCTCCCTAGGAGGGAAATGATTTTTCACTTTCCCTCTCTCTGTCTCTCTCCGGTGAGCACACATGTCTCATGGCAAGAAAAAATAAAGAAATAAAAAGACAGACTGTGTCCAGCCCAGACCTGAAGAATAAGGGATGCGAAAGGAAATTCTTCAGGCCAGAGCTGACAAATGCTGGGGAATGAGATCTACGAGGGGAAACTTACCTGCAACTAGAGACATGGTGAGTAGAAAGTGCTTTTTCGTTTTCTCTAAAACAATTATGTAGCTGCAGCAAAAATAATAAAAGGTACCAGGGTTTCTTTTGTTTTCTCTTTCTAGGTTTTTACCATAGGACTGTGTACTTGCCGGAGAGAGACAGAAAGGTGAGAAGTCACCCTCGGGATGACCACAGTCCCTTCTCTGCTGTCCTCTTGGAATTTTTGGCACACATGCACACACATCCAGCATGATTCTCAAGCAGCCAGGCCTGGGACTCAAACCATCGTTCACCATGTGGGAGTCTCGCACATCAACCGCCATGCCGCCTCCCGACCCCAGGCGGCAGGAGTGAAGCATCTGACACTGGGTGTGGGACTCATTTGCACCACACCTCTGAGGGGCTTCTGCTCACGGCCTGCCTCTGTCCTGCTCCCTGAGCCCAGCACCTGGAGCCCTAGGACTGCAGGATTCCGCCTGAGCACTGTGAGGGCTTCTCTGGTGGTGGTGGGAGAGGTGGCAGAGGCAGCCTGCCAGGCTGGAGGGGCTGGCTCTCCAGAGCAGGACAAAAGGCCAGGCAGCAAGATAGCCCACAGCAGGTGCAGGGTACCAGGCAGAGCCCCAGCCAGGTGTCCCTCCCCGTCTAGATGTCTTAGGGAGAGGTAAAACCTATCTAGAACCATCTTTGCTTCCTTCTCCTTTCCTGTCCCCTTTCCAAATACCACCAGATCCTGCCTATCCTCTCCTAACCCCTGCCTCTGCCCCCACTGCCACTCCCCCAGCTGAACCCATAGGCAGATTTCTGCCCGCTTCATCAAGCAAGCATTCTTCACGAGGCGGCCAGAGGTACCCCTGAGTACCAGTGGGACAGGCCTTTGGGTGACCAGGTGCCAAGGCATTGGCCCTGCCCAGTACTAAGGCACTACAGTCCTCAGGCCCTGGAAAAGTTTGGGAGGCACAGGCGGGGAGGTCTCCGAGAATAAGGGTCTGGAGTTCACCAGAGGCCTTGCTTATGCCTTGGGCCAGCTCTGTCTTGCTTCCCTTGAGATGCCAGTGGCCACAGCCTTCTGAACAAGCCAAGACCAGCCTGCTGTGGGGTGAGCAGTGAAGCCCAGTGCAGCGGACTAAAGCCCCCAGTGCACCCAGTGTGATGGTGTCAGGAGATGGAGCCTTGCGGCTGTGCTGAGGGTGGGGTGCTCACAAGCGGAAGCAGCAGCGACCTAGGAGAAGGGGCCTGAGAGCGAGAGCGAGCTCACTCCATCCCCGCCATGGGAGGGCACAGCAGGGAGGCCGGCCTCTGCAGACCAGGAGGAGGGCCTTTGCCAGGGCCCCAGCCGGCCTCCGGGACTGAGGAACGTTGTCGCCTGTGGGCCCACTCTGTGAGCATTCATTATAGGAGTCCAAGCCGACCAGGACCACCAGTTAATACCGCAGGTCCTCTTGATAGACATCTGCCTGCCAACTGCGGGTCAGCAGACCCAGATGTGTGGGCCGGGACGAGCCGGCCTAACTGAGCCAGCCGAAATACCTGCCTCATGGTTATGGCCAAATCCATGGCGTCGTCAGTTCTAGAGTGACGTGACATACCAGTTTTGAGAGTCGGCAGTCTGGCACTAAAGCTTGCTCTCCCCTGTAGCGGGCAGACTCCCGGGCCCAGGACTGGGGTGGCAGCGCCTGGCAGGGTTTGCAGACTGGTCTGGGGCAAAAACCTGAGTGGCCAGTGAGTACTGTCAGGGTCAACGTCCTGAAACCGACCTTGGAGGCCACACCAAAAGCTGTCTGACCCGCACAGATGCAAAAAGCCATCTTCAGGGTTGGCGGTGGGAAGCGTTAGGACTGTGGGACTTTATTCAGGGCATCTGCAACCTGGGCAGACCTTGGAGTGAGTGACTTCACTCAGGGACCCCACAGGAAATAGCGGGGCACATGCAGGACTCGAATAAAACACCACGTGCAGCACCGGGAGGACCTACAGGTCCTCAGCACAGCCGGGCCCATCCTGGGACATCAGCACACTTCACGCTCAGCCCCACCAGTGTTACTGCCACGTGCAGAGGACACTGGCAGGGCACACTCGAGCTGGTGCACACAGCCCAGGCTGACCATGGTGACCCTGCGCACTGACAGGCCTTCTGCCTCTGCACCCCCTGCTCCCTGCACATCCCAGCAACCAGCACCCTCCCCCTGGCAGATTGCCACTGCACTGGCCCCTCTCTTCCTCATGGTCCTCTTCCCTCCCCTCCCGCTCTCCCCAGCTTTCTCCTGACCCCCCCCACCCCGTGGCACTCTCCCCCAAGATCTCCTGCTCTCCCCCGTGGCTGGATCCCCCCGCGGTTCCACCGTGGTCTCCCCGCTCTGCCCCGTGGCCCTCTCCCACCGTGGTCTCCCTGCTCTCCCCCGTGGCTGGCTCCCACCGTGGTCTCCCCGCTCTCCCCCATGGCCCTCTCCCACCGTGGTCTCCCCACACTTCCTGGGGTCGTCTCCCACTTTCAGGGTGGTCTGGGAGTGCTGGGTGTGAGGACCATTGTGAGCAGGAGACAGGTCCAAGGCCCTGACACTGGCCCACAGTGACCCAGGACAGCAGGGTGCTGGGAGCCTCTGAGGAACCAGGTCCTGTGACTGGGCTCCAGGTTCCTTGAGGGCTGATTTACTCAGATGTAATCACGTGCCACGTGTTTCATCCATGACTCCGTGAGGTTTCGCTTCAGAAGTGACTGAACAGCCGTCATGACCAATCGGAGAACACCCTCATCACCCCGAAAAGAAACTTGCTGTCCCTTGCCCCGGGACCTGGGCAACCACTGCTCCAAAGTCATGGCCTGTGAATCTGCCTCTTCTGGTGTTCCACAGAAATAGAGCCGTGGGACCAGTGTCTGCATGTGGCCACTCCCTCAGCACGTGGCCAGGGCCACCCACGTGGTGCCAGCCCCAGCGCTTTGCCCCCTGCAGCTGAGTGGAGTCCCTCAGGACAGCTGGCCAGGTTCCCCCAGGCTCATGCATCCTTCTGCCCCCTCCTCAGCTGGCGGGAGTGGGGGCTGTCCCCACAGGAGGGTTGTTGGGGCAGTGATGCTGCAGGGGTGCAGGCCTCCGTCTGTGGGCCGGACCCAGGGCCTGGTGGAAACGCTGGATGTGCACATGTGCAGGCAGCGGATGGGAAATACTCTGGGTGTGACTGTCCAAAACCCCAAAGGGAGTGAGATGGGGGAGATAGGATCCGAGTAGCCATGCCCCAGGAGTGTGCGCTCTCCCTCTCCTTGGTCTGTCTCTGTCTTTGTCTCTGGTGAGCGCACACGCCCTCTGGCAACACCCAAGTGTCTACTCAAGTCTTCATTTTCATTCCAAACTCAGAACTGCTGGGTCAGGATAACTCGGGTCTCCTGCGGAGGGACTGCTGGGTACCCACTGCGCACCCAGCCATGCAGGGAGGCCACCTGCATGCACGGGCACTTGGGTGCTACAGCCCCTGGGTGAGAAGCACCACCTCGCTGGATTTCTACTTCAGTCTGCACTGCCTCATGGCTGAGGGCTGGGTCTTCACAGCACTTCGTCTGTCTGCTTTGGAGAAACCTCGGTTCCCGCCCTTTAACTGGCCCCGTTTTCCACAAAGCCTGATGTGGTTTGAGGCTGCCGGGTTGGGGGCGGCCCAGGGTCTTGGGACTCATGGGGGTGGGGGGGCCAGGGAGGAGAGAGTCAGTGGAGAGGCAGGCTGGTCCCGGCGTTTCCGGGATGGCGCCTGGGCGCGCTGCTGAGTCAGGCCGGGGTTTCACTTTTGGGTCTGGGCACCTCCGGCGGCGCGCACTCACTCACTTCCTCGGCGGATCTCTCCCCCTCCCCTCCTGCCTCCTCT